AGTGCTGCTCGCTAACAGCACTTGCCCCAACAGTCTGTAACAGGTGACGTGGGGGACCCTTTGTCTTTGTATCTGCGTGTGTGTGTGTGTGGCAAGCGTTCAGGTAGAAATGCCACAACTCTGAAAGACAAACAACAACAAACAACAACAACCGTCGGGGCCACGGCATGTCGGTGGCGTCACCACGGCGCTTGAGCCATGCTAGGTGCACTTTGAGGCCACGTGCAAGTGTCGAAGCGCCGCTGCTGGCAGGAGGCCACGGAGCAGACGCAGCCGCCGAAAAAACTAAGGGACTGCGCTCTTTCCTTGGTTGGCAGCCGTAAGCCAGTGGTGGAAATTCCACGTTCCTATGGCGGGGGCATGGGGGGACGTGGCGCAACTGTCACAAGCACAACCCGCTGTAAAACTTGCTAATTATACAATCCTCTGGCTTTCTATGACCGCGTTGCAGAAGGGTGAAGTATCTGTATGCTCGACCAGGAAATTGAAGTTCGCCTCCGTTGGTGAACCCGACTTAAATTTTGGAATTTCCACATTCCCACGGCAGTCCCGATCGACTTTCCCCAAAAGAACCGTGCCCATTGAGGGACGATCTGGAGGGGACATTGGGACCCACGGGCTTGGATTTTGAACTCTCATCTCAACCTTGCAACAGTGAGCCAAGCTCCAGCGTCAACGGCCACGTGGCCTGCAGCAAGGGCACAGTTCAAGATCGTGAACGAACAACACAAAACGTCTAATAATAATGATGATGTATTATTGAAATGTATAGTCACGATCACGAGCCCGTGCCACCACGGCTTCTTCCCTCAATGGCAGGGGGTGGCGAGGCCGCCGTGAACTTGCCATCTCACATCACGAAAGTTTGGTTGGTGCATTGGTGCAAGACGGTCACACGTTGAGCCAATTGTTGGTTTCCAGAGCACGAAACTTTTTTTTTATGGTGGTCATCACTTGTCTGTGACCCGCTTGGAAGTCACCAAGCCAGATTGCCCAGGAGGGGGGGGGGCACAGATTGTATCCATATTTCTACGCAACAATCGTGCCAACGAGAGATAGCTAACAAAATCGCCCGACATTGGACTTCTTTCGCACCGTACGTTGTAATAAAAAAATGGAATTTATAACGAGCCAGAATTTCTTTGGGCAGACAAGTCAACAACTCAGGAGGCGTGGAGCAAAGCTCAGGGCTGCTCGAAATCCTGACCAAACCGAGAGGCCTTTAGAGGTCTCTTAAAAGTTGAGTGCATTTGATGTTGTGCAGTGTATAGTGACGTACAGCTGTAACGGTGCAGTGTATAGTGACGTACAGCTGTAACAGTGTAGTGTATAGTGACGTGAAGCTGTAACAGTGTAGTGTATAGTGACGTAAAGCTGTAAGTGTAGTGTATAGTGACGTGAGGCTGTAACAGTGTAGTGTATAGGGACGTGAAGCTGTAACAGTGTAGTGTATAGTGACGTGAGGCTGTAACAGTGTAGTGTATAGTGACGTGAGGCTGTAACAGTGTAGTGTATAGTGACGTGAGGCTGTAACAGTGTAGTGTATAGTGACGTGAAGCTGTAACAGTGTAGTGTATAGTGACGTGAAGCTGTAACAGTGTAGTGTGTTGTGACGTAAAGCTGTAACAGTGTAGTGTATAGTGACGTAAAGCTGTAACAGTGTAGTGTATAGTGACGTGAAGCTGTAACAGTGTAGTGTATAGTGACGTGAGGCTGTAACAGTGTAGTGTATAGTGACGTGAGGCTGTAACAGTGTAGTGTATTGTGACGTGAAGCTGTAACAGTCTAGTGTATAGTGACGTGAGGCTGTAACAGTGTAGTGTATAGTGACGTACAGCTGTAACAGTGTAGTGTATAGTGACGTAAAGCTGTCACAGTGTAGTGTATAGTGACGTAAAGCTGTCACAGTGTAGTGTATAGTGACGTAAAGCTGTCACAGTGTAGTGTATAGTGACGTAAAACTGTAACAGTGCAGTGTATAGTGACGTAAAGCTGTAACCGTGTCGTGTGTTGTGACGCAAAGCTGTAACAGTGTAGTGTATAGTGACGTAAAGCTGTAACAGTGTAGTGTATAGTGACGTAAAGCTGTAACAGTGTAGTATATAGTGACGTAAAGCTGTAACAGTGCAGTGTATAGTGACGTAAAGCTGTAACAGTGTAGTGTGTTGTGACGTGAAGCTGTAACAGTGGAGTGTATAGTGACGTGAGGCTGTAACAGTGTAGTGTATAGTGACGTGAAGCTGTAACAGTGTACTGTATAGTGATGTGAAGCTGTAACAGTGTAGTGTATAGTGACGTGAGGCTGTAACAGTGTAGTGTATTGTGACGTGAGGCTGTAACAGTGTAGTGTATTGTGACGTGAAGCTGTAACAGTGTAGTGTATTGTGACGTGAAGCTGTAACAGTGTAGTGTATTGTGACGTGAAGCTGTAACAGTGTAGTGTATAGTGACGTGAGGCTGTAACAGTGTAGTGTATAGTGACGTGAAGCTGTAACAGTGTAGTGTATAGTGACGTAAAGCTGTAAGTGTAGTGTATAGTGACGTGAAGCTGTAACAGTGTAGTATATAGTGACGTGAAGCTGTAACAGTGTAGTGTATAGTGACGTGAAGCTGTAACAGTGTAGTGTATAGTGACGTGAGGCTGTAACAGTGTAGTGTATAGTGACGTGAAGCTGTAACAGTCTAGTGTATAGTGACGTGAGGCTGTAACAGTGTAGTGTATAGTGACGTGAGGCTGTAACAGTGTAGTGTATAGTGACGTGAGGCTGTAACAGTGTAGTGTATAGTGATGTGAAGCTGTAACAGTCTAGTGTATAGTGACGTGAAGCTGTAACAGTCTAGTGTATAGTGACGTGAAGCCGTAACAGTCTAGTGTATTGTGACGTGAGGCTGTGACAGTTCCTAGACCTTGGTGTCCGGAGCAGCTTTTGAGTGAAGCTGTTGCCTAGGATTCTACCACGAATGCAAGGCGAGCGTGGCGAGGCATGGCGAGGAACCGGTAATGAAGACACGATGACAAACGCAGGCGATGTAATAATTTGTCCTGCTGGCTTGAGCCAATGCAGAGTACACGGAGAGCGGTGGCCGAGTCGAGTTGTAGACCGTGGACATCAAGGACGACACGCGCCTTGAGATTGTTCTGTTACCGTTGCAATTTGAGGATGTTGCTTAATGAGGGTCTTGGAGAAAACGGCATTACAGTGGTGGAACCGGGGCCCAACTATACTGCAGGCGAGGGTGTTGGCACTATCGATGGTAAATGAGCGGACGTAGGTGACGAAGAGCGCCTTGAGATTGTTGCACGTTTTGATGGCGATGTTGTTGACGTGAATGTCCGCAGAACAAGGTGGAAGAATCCAGTGGACACCAATGAATGTTACGCGGTGCGTAAAGGAAATGGTGATGCCGGAAAATCGTGGCGTTGCGAGGAAGAGAGGGCGACATGAGCCTCTGTCGGGTGCCAACGAGTATGGCTTCAGATTTGGCTGCATTTAAAGATCGTGCGACCACAGCGAGTGCTGGCAAGGCTGTTGTGCACTCAGAGAGATTTTCAATTCCTTGAGCACTCGTGGGGTTTTATTGATGTGTAGAATAGAATATCAGCAAAGGAGTAGTATTTAATTCCAAAGCTATCAATAAGTCGGTCGACGGGGGGATGTGTAGACGGCAAACAGTAGCGGTACAAGCACGGCGCCCTGGGGGACCCCGCACGAGTGCTTTGTGATCGTGGATGTGGATTAGCCTATTTTAACAGTGGAGTTCCGTTCAAATGGGTTGAGATCTATTTAAGGACTAATTCTAAGTCAGACTCAAGAAGGCTAGTAAAGTAGACAACCATACTAATGGGAGGTGCTAATCGGAGATGCAACAGTCCCACAGATAACCGGCCATGTGCACCCACAGGTTAGAAACTGATTCTGTAGAGGACAGAGAGGATACTCATTCCTGCAGTGTCTCGTGGCCAGTCGTTGAGATTATTCGAGGTTTCGGAGCTTCCTCTTTACAGAAGATTCAAACTGCTGCACTGCCCTGGATCAACAGTGATTTTGTAACGAAACAAAAATAGCATCCACCTTTGGGGGATCGCATCTTGCTCTGTGCAAAACAAACACCACGTTGACTCAGCCAGGTAGTGGTAGTGCACACCTGTAGTCCAGCATAGTGGATGCGGGGGGGGGGGTATCACACAAACGTTGTTACCATCTCGCTACGGAGGTCATGGATTTGATCCCAGCCCTGACGCCTGCTGTATATTTGGAGTTTGCGTGTCTCTCTCTCCCCGTAGTTGCGTGGATTTTTTGTCAGGGCCCTCCGGTTTTTCCTCCCCACGTTTAGAATCAACATGCGTTGTATGTGGCTGCTCTAAATATCCGCGTGACAAGCCACTTCATTGAGCTGTTATATTATATGTGGCCAGGTTTGCTTCTAAATAAGAGCCGTACAGCTCAGTGGGCCTAACGTGGTAAGAAAATTTAGTTTAGTTTTAAATGTTGTGAAACTCCATTCCCGCGTTGAGTCGAAGTGCCTGCCGTAACCTCTGGCTTGCTGTGAGAGGTGCGGATACAGAAGAAAATGTGGACTCCCACTTGTTTCATCTGGATAGGATAGAGTGTTTCCCCCTCGCACGCGTGGATTATTCTCCAGGTGCTACGGTATCCTCCCCCGCATGTAAACACTCATTAATTGGTAGAGAACACCTTAGCATCGAGAGCACCGCAGAGCTTTGGCGATCGCCCGTGGTTCCTCACGCCTCTCGAGTCGTTCTCTCTCTACGAGTGGGCGGAAACTGTGCACGTCACGAGTCAATAATCATTGTTATTGAAATTTTAAAATGCAAGAGACAAACACGTTGCTGGGAAGATTAAAACGTGCGTTATCGGGCCTTGTTGCGACTGTCGTTGTTGTTCTGCTGCTTGACTGAAAACAAAAAAAAGGGAATACCCCTGGGGAAGCTGTCACAGTTTTCACATCAGGATGTTGTGCATTCACGAGGCACTCAAAATCCTATTTTTATCCGAGCACATTACATTTTAATAACCGTCAAGTTGTGGCAATTTTTACCTAAACACTTGACAATCCAATGAGATGTACACTCTATGAAGGTTGCCACCATTTCCACCGTAGACCAAACACAGACACATTTCCGAGTCGGCACGAGGTCTATCGGTACTCAGCGATCTTCCGTAATGTGGTTCAACACAATACCGATAGCAGATCTCGGTACAAATTCGTTCCCGCTGTCCGAACGGACAGTGATGAGAAGGAAACTGGTACTATTTGGACACATATATGTAGGACGGACGACAACAAGAAGAATTATAAGTTTGTTGTTCGGGGAAAAATGGAAGGTACCAGAAGGAGAGGAAGACCTCACAGAGAATGGCTTGATGACGACATCATAAGAGATTGGTGCCAGAAAGATGTGGCCACTACTTGAGCCATATTGGCACAAGACAGAGGAAAGTGGAAACAAATTATAAAATGTTAAGTGGACATCTACAGGGGCCGGCTATCTGCCCATGGACCGTGATGATGATGATGATGATGATTTCAGAACAGAGATGCCAATTCCTGGCCTGTCCAAGCCAAATGTGGACCGGTAGCAACCCTATAAATATATACACACACACACAGTACACGCAACAACAATAACACGCACACACACAGTACGCACAAAAACAACAACACGCACACACAATACAAACAAAAACAACAACAAGCACACACACGGAGTATAGGGAAGGATTCCGATGTTTGTTGGTAGCCGAGGCGACGGCGATGTGGGTTGCGACCGGGGTTGGGGGGGGGGGCGAGCTGCTGCTGCGTGCGGGGTGGCCGACGACGTACAGAGGCCGAGGTGGGGGAGGGGGGGGGGGGAGCGCCCCTCCACACCGATCTCCTAGCCCAGCGTGGGCCCCTGCAGGCCGCTACCACTGCTCAACTTGGGCAGCTTCGCTCTCCGCGCGGCCACGAGCGACGGCGACGACGACGGAGGAGGAGGAGGAGGAGGAGAAAGCAACCGCGTCGTCAGAGCCAACGGTTGGGCCGCCACTCCAGCCCGCACGCCGGGGGCCGACGACGCGGTCCTGCCGGGGCCTACGACGGGCCTCGACGCAGAGGCCCGGTCATAGTAGCAGGAGGAGGAGGAGGCGGCGGTGGGGGCGCCGGCGGGCGACGCTCGCGGAGGCACGTGGCCGGGCCGCTCGCCATGGCCCCCCGGGCGCGGGCGCTTGAGGCCGTTGCTTTTGCCGTTGCTCTTGGCGGTCGGATGGATGGGGCCCGCCGCCGCCGCCGTGCCAATGGCGGTGGCGGTGCGGGTGGCGGTGCTGGTGGCGGTGGCGGTGGCGGTAGAGGAGGAGGCACCGTTGGTGAGGCCGTTTGGCTGCGAGGGAGGCAAGGGCCGCTCGGCGCAGGCTGGCGTTGGGCTGCGGTTGGAGGGGGCCGGCGGGGCCGAGGGGGCCGACGGGGCCAACGAGGCCGACGGGGCCGACGGGGCCGACGGGGCCGACGGGGCCGGCCCCGCAGGGGAGGTCGCGGGGGGGGGGAGGGGGAGTAAGAGGGGGGGGGCCGCGTCTCCTCTCGCGCAGGGCCTGACTCTTGAGCTGTGCCTCCAGCGCCGCCTCCTGCTGCCCGCGCCGCATGCCCACGCACACGGGGAACACGCGGTAGCGCAGGGGCAGGGGCCCGTCCTGCCCACACACACACACACCGGTGAACACGCGCACACACACACACACACACCGGTGAACACGCGCACACACACACACCGGTGAACACGCGCACACACCGGTGACCACACACATACACATAATAAGACAAAGATCCTCCAAGTAGCCTTAACAGACTGTTGGGGCAAGTGCTATTAGTGAGTAGTACCTATGAAGGCCGGCACGGCACATGTGGGGGTGGGCGGCCAGCACCACGCCCGGCCGTCTTTGTCTCCCTAGTGGCGATATTTTTACGCACTGCACCAGGTACTCATTTGAGGCTGAGTCGACCTGGGGGAGGCCCAGGACCGGTTCCGATCAATTGTCACCGGCGTTGGTGGTCGCCGAGCGGGATTCATAAAGCGCACGGCACGCTCACCGCTGCACCACCGCTCTCACCACCAACAGCATGCGCGCGCGGGTGCTGGCACTTGCCAGCACCTGGCTCGGAGCCTGCAAGCGTCGGGGGTGGGGTAGAGGGGCAAGCAAGGGGGCAGGGCCAGGACAGCCTCCGGGTGCTGCTCGCTTACCCGTCTCCACGCGTAGATGTACGCGATGTCCATGAGCGTGTAGTAGTCCTTGAGGCTCTCGTCCTCGTACATGACGTCTACCTGCGGAACGGTGCGGTCAGGCGCGCGGTCACGCAGCTCCCGCGCGTACAAAGACGACAAAAGATCATTCTCGCCTCCCCGCCCCCTGTGTAGCCTGTAACAGACTGTTGGGGGGGGGTCAAGTGGTACACACGAGGGGGTGGGTGGCCAGCACCATGCCCGGCCGTCTTTGCCTCCCCCGTGGCGATGTTTACTACACACCGCCGTACCAGGTACTCATTTGAGGCAGAGTCGACCTAGGTAGGGAGGAGGCCCAGGACCGTCACCGTTGGTGGCTTTGAGCGGGAAATTGAACTCGGGTCGCCGGGATCGTAGCGTGGTACGCTAACCGCTGCCGCTCCCTCTTGTATGCACGCGTACACACACACACACATATACATACGTAACTAGAGACACGCAAGATTCAGGAAAAACAACGCGCGCACAAAGCCGGATGTTCAAGTGCCACCGCGGGGTTTTTGTTGCCACCTGCGCCCAGACTTTCCCCTCCAGCGTTGTGCTCTGCTAAGAGGCCGCTGCCTGTCCAGGGAAATCTGCAAAGCGTGCCGTAGCACTCGGAACGCCATTTGTCATTGTCGCACACTGACTGCCGTTTGCTAGCGTATCACACAGGCCGCCGTTTGTTAACGTAGCGTGAGCTCACCTGGTAGTTGCTGGGGATGTCCATTTTGTTTCTCAGGAATTTCCGCAGGTGCATCACCGCCATGGCGGCTGGGCACTGCAGGTAGCGCTTAGCGCAGTCCTACAGCGGCACGGGGTGACACGGGGTGACACGGGGTGACACAGCGGCACGGGGTGACACGGGGTGACACGGGGTGACACAGTGGCACGGGGTGACACGGGGTGACACGGGGTGACACGGGGTGACACGGGGTGACACAGCGGCACGGGGTGACACAGCGGCATGGGGTGACATGGGGTGACACGAGGTGACATGGGATGACAGCGGCACGGGGTGACACGGCAGGCATTAAACACAGCACGCGGAGGTCCTGCAGCGTGGCCGTATTAAAAGGGGGGGCCTAGGTGCGGCAAACTACTCAGCGGAGAGGGGGGGGGGGGTTCATCAACTCTCAACAAACGGTACGTGCTCAGGAGACTAAGCGCGGGGCCACAATGCCGATCCGTTCGGAAAGGGCCGCCGCTGCTGCTGCTGCTGCTGCGAGGGCGACAACCGGAGTTTGCGTGATGCCGGTTTAAACAATAAAAACACCTAATTTTCTTGCTGTGGTTTTCACACCTGATGACGATTGCTTGTGTTGCAGTCGAAACGTCGTGAGAATTTTATTGTTTTATATTTTTATTATTTCATTGTTTCCCTTCTACGTGGTGACTTTACCGAAAGAACCAAGAATATGAATCCCTGCGGTCACGAAAGCTTTAAATCAAAACCACTACTGCTGTTAGAACGGCCGAGACTTCAGTGGGGGATGCAGGGAGCTCAGCCCTCTGTGGCCGCCCCCACCCACGAGCCACGCAGCAGCTTTTACCTTGCCGTTGATCTTGAATTCCTCGCTGTTGGGAGCGCTGAAAAAACAAAAACGCAGTCAACGTCACCGCTGTTCCGCGTGGCGTCCGGCAGCACAAAGAGATAAACAGTAACGTGTAAAAAAAATATACGTATATAAAAAAAACTGAAATTCGCTCATTTGTTATAATTTTCGAATTTCACGCTGGGTACTACAAATGTGATGCTGCCCTGAGAGTTGAACTTTTTCTGCCATCGTACGTAGCCAACCGCGCGAATCGGAGGCGCGGGTAAATTATGGCGCTTTGAGTGGCAGATTTGTGCCGGGCGCGGAAACCACACAGGGGTGTAACGCAAACGTAAACTTGACCCTTTCCTGCTCCGGGCCAGTGGTGGAAATTGCACATTACTATGGCCGGGAGTGAGTTTTGCGCACGGCACAAGCCCACTGCTGTTGATTTCCGTACAGAGCAAAAGTTCATTCATTGACCCCCCTGGAAGAAGAGACGATGGGCCGAGTGAACCCTGGCGAGTAGGATTGAAAGTCCGCTCCGTTCTGATGGCAAGCCGCATAGGTTAAGTGATGATAACTCACCGCACAAACAAGAAATTACAAGATAATTCATTACTAAAGCACCACCAGCAGCACCATCATCATCATGACCACCAGCACGATCATCATCACCACCACCACCGCCACAGCCGTGGTGTGACTGCACCACTCACGTGTGGCTGGCGGCTGCATGGTGGTACTCGATAGACAGGCTGATGATCTCGTCGTCGGTGATGATCTGCTTGTCTTCATCCGCCACTTCTCCCCGCGCCTCGTTGGAGCCGACTGCAAACGACGGGCGGGGGGGGGGATGGGGAAACCGGCGTCACGCTAAGAACACGCCAAGAACCCCACCGTGCGGCATGGACGGCGACAACGGCCCGGGTCCCCACGCCGCGATCGGTACATTACATCTCCTTAACCGGCACCTTCGATTAGCACAGTTTGGCTATGTACGGTGCGAAATAACATCAACATACATACAACATGCATACAACATACATACAACATACATACAACATACGTACAACATACGTACAACATGCATACAACATACGTACAACATACGTACAACATCCGTACAACATACATACAACATACGTACAACATGCATACAACATACATACAACATACATACAACATGCATACAACATACATACAACATGCATACAACATACATACAACATACATACAACATACATACAACATGCATACAACATACATACAACATGCATACAACATACATACAACATACATACAACATACATACAACATGCATACAACATGCATACAACATGCATACAACATACATACAACATACATACAACATGCGTCCAGCGCCAGCCATCGTGTAACGCCTGCGCTCCGTGGACTGTGCTGGCAGCCAGTGCGATGGCGCGTCGCGGGCAAGGCCGGTCCTCCCCTGCCACTATAAAAACGAATCTGAAACTGACCGCAAACGCATCTCCTTTTGACTACCAGGCAAGGCCCACTGAGCTATGTAGCTCATTTTTCAGAAGAGACCTGTCCATCACAAATGACAACCCAACGAAGTGGCGGCTTATTGTCACGTGGACATTTGAACGCGCGATGTCGATTCGAAATGCGGGGGGAGAAAAACCGGAGGACCTGGAGAAAAATCCACGCGACCACAGAAGAAAGAGAGAGAGAGAAAGACACGCAAACTTCAAATATACAGCAGGCGTCGGGGGGGTCAGGATCATACCCACGACCTCCTGCATCAATCACCACCACTGGTGTCATCGCGACATCGCCAGAGTAACCGCCACCGCGTGCCGCTGGAGAGGTCCCACTCACCGTCAGCCGCAGGGTGTGCCGAGTAGAAGTCTCTCCTCCTCTTCATCTCATCTGCAGCGACACGCAGGGGAACGTGTGAACATGGGGAAACAGGAACAGGGGAACGCGGGACCCCAGAAAACGGTCTTGAGAATCGGTGATGCCTTCCTGGATAGATAATCAAATTAGGATTTATAACCAGTGCGGGGGGGAGGGAGGGGACTCTGTTTTTATACCGTGAAATGGGAAAGGCACCGTCTCCATTGCCAAGATCAAGATGTTACCACGACAACAACAACAACCGCCATTCGCCACTAAGTGGCGGCGACGTCACCACGACGCTTGTGCCAGGCCATGTGCACCTTGAGGCCACGACCACACCACCACCAACACCACACCACCGCCAAAACGAGTATCTAAGTGCATCATTGCGTACGCATCAGCACAGGGAGAGGAAAAAGCAACACCACCCCTCCTCCTCGCGTGCCACAATGCCGGCCTTCATTAGGTGCTGCTACTCGCGGACAACACTCGCCCCCCCCCCCACCCCAACAGTCTGTTGACGGCTAGACGGGGGGGGGGGGCGGGGGTCTTCGTCTTTGTTGTAATGCCAAGGGGACACCGCGAGCACAAAGGGGTTCACCTTTGAAGAGACCGGGGACGAGTTTGTAGACGATGTCTTGCAAAGTCTTGTCGGACCTGAGACACGAGGGACGCGTTAGTGGCACGCGTGCGAACGTGGCGCTGTCATCTCCATCTGGCTGCCGCCTGATGAAGCTGGTTGTGATTACCGGCGAAACGTCGTACTCAGTTTGTAAATGTTGTGGCTTGGCTCTCCAACACACCGGTGTGCTGTACTAGTGACGAATTTGTCAAGTTCTGTTTACGTGACAACACTCACTAGTTGGCCGTGTCGGGTGGTGGTGGGTTTAACGACAAACTTATATATTTGCGAAATCTAACCCAAAAAAAACGCAAACCTCTATTATGGTAGTGTAAAGACTTAACTTCAAAACACGAGGTCAAAAAGTGGCACTTTTGTTTATCTTTAATTTTCAAGTATTTTTTTAAGCTTTGGGGGAAACGTGCCCGTGGTGTCCCCGCGCGGCTGCTGCCTCGCTGTAGGAGCTGTGCCGACGCTGGAGGTTGAACTTTTTTCGCACCGTACGTAGCCAGCCGTGCTAATCGGAGGTGCGGGGGAAGGACAGAAAACTAAACGCAAAAAGCAGTCGTAAACAAATAAATTTTCAATCTGGGATTTTTAAAGTGCACAGCCTCTGGTGCCTTCCTGATATCGGAAGGAAGAGCGTTCCAGACGGCCGCAGAGGCGCATCTGAAAGCGCGCGATGCGGTGACCACCGTCTTTGTTCGACGGTCAGCCAAAAGCCGCCGCCGCTGCTGCTGCTGCTGCTGCGAGGATGACCGGGGAGTTTCGTGCGATGATGGTTTACGCTCCTCGACAAGATCAGCAGCGAGGTCAGCAGCGAGGTATTGTGCGGTTCATTTGCGGCAAGCACTTTGTGCGCGACGAGTGCGACGAGGTGCCAATGCACGTGCGGCGAGGCCTGGGACTCCAGGCCGAGTCACCCGAGTGTGCTGAACTTATTTCGCACCACCGTACCCCGCAGCCAAGCCCGTACTAACCTGAGGTTTAGGAGTGGCCGGGTCTTGTGCACCTGGACGTCACACACCGGGCAGAACTTGCTCGACTCAAGGTAGCGGACGATGCACGTCTTGCAGACTGCGAAGGGACAAAGACAAAGGTAACGGTCGCCCCCGGTATAACCCACCACAGGCCGTTAGGGCAAGTGCTGTTATAGCAAGCACCTATGAACACCGTACCAGGTGCTCATTTAAGGCTGAGTCGACGTAGAAGAGGCCAAGAATCCGGTTAAAATATTTGCCACTGTTATTGGTCACGAGCTGGAATCTGAACTGGGGGTGGCCGTGTTCGTAGCGCGGTGTGCTAACCACTGTGCCACTGCTCCCCACAACAAAAAACAAAGATCCCCCGTATAGCTTGAACAAAGTGATGTCAGTGAGCACCTATAAGAGTTGGTATGGGCACGAGAGGGGGTGGGGTGGTCAGCACCAGGCCCGGCCGCCTTTGTCTCCCCAGTGCTTGCTAAAAGCACTTGCCCAAACAGTCGGTTAAGGCATATACGGGGGATCTTTGTGTATGTGTGTGTGTGCCTGCGTACACGAGTGTGTACGTGTGCGTGTGCGTACACGAGTGGAGACACTCGGTGATGGTGGTGGCATCGATGAAGTATCCCCCGCACAGCACGCAGATGAGGTGCGGATTAAACTCCGTCATCTTGATGCGCGTCGTGCGGTGCATCATCGGGTGGCTCATTCACTGTGACGACGAGGAGGATGGGGGGGGGAGGCAGAGAGAGGAAGAGGGGAAGTGGGAGGAGGAGGTGGGGAGACGAGGAGGGTTGGGGAAAGAAGAGGGGGAAGACATCAACAATGGCACCGTTAGTGATACACAGAGGCACTGTGATACACAGAGAGAGATAGACAAAGACAAAGACCCCTCCATATAGCCTTAACAGACTGTAGGGGCAAGTGCTGTTAGCGAGCACCTATGAAGGCCGGAACGGTACACGAGGGGGTGGGTGGCCAGCACCACGCCCGACCGCCTTTGTCTCCCTAGTGGCAATGTTTACACACCGCACCAGGTAATCATTTGATGCTAAGTCAACCTAGGGGAGGCCCGGGACCGGTTCAGATAATCGTCACTGGTGTTGGCCGTGAGCGGGAATCGAACCCGGGTCGCCAGGTTCATAGCGCAGCGTAGCGCTAACCGCGACACTATCGCTCCCCAGAACAGAGAGAGATAGACACAGAGACACAGCGACACAGCGACAGACACTTTATATCTTAACAGTCAAGGTCCACTGAGCTGCTTAGCTCTTTTGCAGAATCGACCTCGCTGTCACAAGTGATAGCTCAGTGAAGTGGCCGATCGTCATCACGTGACAATTTATCGCTGTAGCAAAGTACTTTCAATGCGTGATGTTGATTCTAAAAATGTGGAGGGGAGGTGGGGGGGGAAACCCGGAGGGGTCCTGTAGAAAAAAATCCAAGCGGCCACAGGGAGGGAGAGAAAGCAAACTCCAAATACGGATGTCAACATAGCGATAGATTGACACGGAGATAGAACTGCTCCCAATATTATTGGTTTGGAAAGCCAATGTGGCCAATCGACTACACAGATCTGTTAACATGTGAAGAGAACGGTTATTTAAGTAGGATATGACCCATAACGTTCCACAACGACGCATGACGGGTTTGAAGCCGAGTGGCACTCATCCTGCGCCAGTCCTGGAAATTCCACGTTTGTATGACGGAATGGAGTCTGGGGGGGTTGCCGCGATGTGGTGATAAGCCCTCCGAAATATTGTCAAATATACCATCCACGGTAATCGTATCAACTGCGGGGTATTTTTTTATAACATGTCGTTATTTCGGGATTATTGTTGTTCATTTCATTTTCATTCAATATTATTTTGATTTCCTCACGAATGATTTACCAAATAACGCGATAATTGTAGTTTGAAATATACAGTATACGCTAAGTGCAGTCGTGCTGATTAATCGTGGAACCAGCATGCCATTCCGAGAGTGGCCACCAGAGAGGACTACAGCCCCACTCACCACTCTCACCACCCTCACCACTCACTCACCACTCACCACCCACTCACCACTCACTCACCACTCACCACCCACTCACCACTCACTCACTCACCACTCACCACCCTCAGCACTCACCACTCACCACCCTCACCACTCACCCCCCACTCACCACTCACCCCCTACTCACCACTCACCACTCACCACCCCCCTCACCACTCACCACCACCCCCCCCTCACCACTCACCACTCACCACCCCCCTCACCACTCACCACCCACCACCCTCCCTCACCACTCACCACCCTCCCTCACCACTCACCACCCTCCCTCACCACTCACCACCCCCCCCCCCCCTCACCACCCACCACCCCCCCCCTCACCACTCCCTCCCCCCTCACCACTCCCTCCCCCCTCACCACTCACCACCCCCCCTCACCACTCACCACCCTCACCACTCCCTCCCCCCTCACCACTCACCACCCTCACCACTCCCTCCCCCCTCACCACGCCCTCCCTCACCACGCCCTCTCACCACGCCCCCCTCACAACGCCCCCCCCCCTCACCACCCCCCCCTCACCACTCCCCCCCCTCACCACGCCCCCTCACCACGCCCTCCCTCACCACGCCCCCTCTCACACAACAAGATAAAGATCCCCCGGGTAGCCTTAACAGACTGTAGGGGCAAGTGCTGTTAGCGAGCAGCAGCTATCAAGGCCGGCACGGCACACGAGGGGGTGGGTGGCCAGCAACCACGCCCGACCGCCTTTGTCTCCCCCCCAGTGGCGATGTTTACTACACACCGCACCAGGTACTCATTTGAGGCCGAGTCGACCTAGGGGAGGCCCATCACCGCTGTTGGTGTCGATCTCCCGTTCCCCATAACGTGTCGTCACGCACACACGTGATCCATGTGTAGATACCCCATTGCATCATAAGGAGTGATGGCGGCGTACGCTGCAGGCATAAAATCCGTGGGGTATCTATAAATGGATCATCGTAATGTTTTTATGTGCGAGTAAACTGTTTGCGAACACCGTTCAAGGCTGGGGCTACTGTGGTGTGACCAGCCCGGCCGCCTTAGTCTCCAACCATCGTTTATTTCACACACACACACACCGCGCCAGGTAAACTCATTTGAGGCCGAGTCGACCTAGGATCGGTTCAAGATTTTCGCGACCGACTTAGCAGCAGCAGTGGGCTAAACCACACCACTACCGCTGCCCCCTTGAAGAGCAACAGGAATCATCTTGAACGACATTATCTACAGCTCTGTGACACGTTCACATTACAAGGGGGCATCGAATATACCGAATAGAATATCAGAATCGGTCTCTATATCCTGGAGAAATCCGATGAGCTACTAAGCTCTTTAGCACAGGTCAAATAAAACACGCGCATTCTGTGGCGATGTCGCTGCTGCTGCTGCTTTTGCTGCGGTGCACACTCAAGAGTGAACACACACAAACACAAGCAGACAAGCAGCGTTAACACACACACACACAAGCAGAGTTAACACACACACAAACACACCAACAGTTGACACAAACACACACAAGCAGAGTGAACACACAAACACACACAAGCAGAGTGAACACAAACACACACAAGCAGAGTGAACACACAAATACACACAAACACTCACAAGCAGAATTAACACACACACACAAGCAGAATTAACACACAAGCAGAGTTAACACACACACAAACACACAAGCAAGAGTTAAAACACACACAAAACACACACACAAAACACACACAAACACACAAGCAGAGTTAACACACACACAAACACACAAAACACAAACACACACACAAACCACACACACAAGCAGAGTTAACACACACACAAACACACACACAAGCAGAGATAACACACACACAAACACACACACAAACACACAAGCAGAGTTAACACACACACAAACACACAAAACACACACACAAGCAGAGTTAAATTTCTTATTGTGTTATTTTATTTTATCAATTTATTATTTTATTCTCATTCTACGTGACTTTACCGAAAGAACCAAAGAAGATGAAGCAGAGTTAACACACACACAAACACACAAAACACACACAAACACACAAGCAGAGTTAGCACACACACAAACACACAAAACACACACACACAAACACACAAGCAGAGTTAACACACACAAACACACAAAACACACACACAAACACACAAGCAGAGTTAACACACACACAAACACACACACAAGCAGAGATAACACACACACAAACACACACACAAACACACAAGCAGAGTTAACACACACACAAACACACAAAACACACACACAAGCAGAGTTAAATTTCTTATTGTGTTATTTTATTTTATCAATTTATTATTTTATTCTCATTCTACGTGACTTTACCGAAAGAACCAAAGAAGATGAAGCAGAGTTAACACACACACAAACACACAAAACACACACAAACACACAAGCAGAGTTAGCACACACACAAACACACAAAACACACACACACAAACACACAAGCAGAGTTAACACACACAAACACACAAAACACACACACAAACACACAAGCAGAGTTAGCACACACACAAACACACACACACAAACACACAAGCAGAGTTAACACACACACAAACACACACAAACACACAAGCAGAGTTAACACACACAAACACACAAAACCCACACACAAACACACAAGCAGAGTTAACACACACAAACATACAAAACACACACACAAACACACAAGCAGAGTTAACACACACAAAACACACACACAAACACACACACAAACACACAAGCAGAGTTAACACACACACAAACACACAAAACACACACACAAACACACAAGCAGAGTTAACACACACACAAACACACAAAACACACACACAAACACACAAGCAGAGTTAACACACACACAAACACACACACACAAGCAGAGTTAACACACACAAACACACAAAACACACACGCAAACACACAAGCAGAGTTAACACACACAAACACACAAAACACACACACAAACACACAAGCAGAGTTAACACAAACACACACAAACACACACAAACACACAAGCAGAGTTAACACACACAAACACACAAAACACACACAAGCAGAGATAACACACACACAAACACACAAAACACACACACAAACACACAAACACACACACAAACACACAAACACACACACAAACACACAAGCAGAGTTAACACACACACAAACACACAAAACACACACAAAAACACACAAGCAGAGTTAACACACACAAACACACAAGCAGAGTTAACACACACACAAACACACACACACACACAAGCAGAGTTAACACACACAAACACACACACAAACACACAAGCAGAGTTAACACACACACACAAGCAGAGTAAACACACACAAACAGAGTTAACACACACACAGAGTTAATACACACCTGCTGGGTCTGTCCCGAGACCTCCTGCCAGCGTGAGCCTTCGACAACTTAACGTGTACTTAAAGTGCACCTAGCCTGGCACAGGCGTTTTGTTGACGTCACCGTCACTTCATTTGCGGATATTGGTATTGGTGGCGCAGTGGTGAGCGCTGCACTTTATAAACTAACACGAAACTATTTTACAAATGTTTACCAGGTAAAGCCCACTGAGCTAGGGAAGATTTTTTCAGCAGCGTCTTGGACATCATCACAAATGATAGCTCAACGAGGTGGGGTATCAGCTCGTGGAACATTTCGAGCCAAAAAA